TTTTTTTTTTTTTTGGCAGTTAAGTTTTTTTTTTTTTTTTTGATGCTTGTTGCTTTTTATGCTTTTTAGTTAGCCGCGGTGTTGTTGGTGCCTGACCGTTGGGTTCGTTTTTTATACTTCTGTTTGGAATGTTTGGAATTTTATTTTCTATTTTACTATTAATAGATTTGATAGAGATCGCTCGTGGTTGTGGAGTGAGATATCCTGTTATCTGAGACGAGTACTTCACGTCATGGATGTATCTGATCGTATTTATGGTCCGTTACGAATGTATCTTTACGTCAGAGATCAATAAGTTTCTGTAAGTGCTAGTGCAATCATTTCATTCTCTGAGGTATCTTAAGTTGAGAGCGGGTTTGCTAGGAAGACCACTGAAGGAGAAAACAGTAGTCTGAAAGGTGATAAACAATCAAGGAGGGTTTGGGGAGTTGATGTTTTTTTTTTGGGGAGAGAGAGAGAGAGAGAGAGAGAGAGAGAGGTGGCAGGAAGAGAGAGAGAGAGAGAGGTGGCAGGAAGAGAGAAGGTGGCAGGAAGAGAGAGAGAGAGAGAGAGAGGTGGCAGGAAGAGAGAAGGTGGCAGGAAGAGAGAGAGAGAGAGAGAGAGAGAGAGAGAGGGGGATGAACGGGGGAAGAAATGGAAATAGAATTTCCATTTTTCAAATGGGAGAAGAGAGAGAGAGAGAGAGAGGATGAACGGGGGAAGAAATGGGAATAGAATTTCCTATTTTAAATGGGAGAAGCAGCGCGCGCGCGCGCGCGCGAGACAGACACACAAAGAGAGAGAGAGAGAGAGAGGAGAAAGAACGGGGGAAGAAATGGAAATAGATTCTCCACTTCTTAAAAGGGAGAAGCAGTGAGTGCATTTTTCCGTCAGAACTGGATTGTGGATGTACGTAGAGCAAGATGTAGAGCGGTGGAAAAGCAAGGAGGATCTCGGACCACTTGTCTGAACGTGGGAATTAAAGCGAATGTATTTTTCCGTTGGAACTGGAAACGTACATTGCTGTGTGATATAATTGGCGCGCAGTGAACCTCGAGTCCCCCAAATAGATTGACAGGGAGACCAATCTTCGTGTTTGCCTATCTGTTTTCTTTGATTTTTTTTTTGAACTTATCAGTGTAAGCCGAAGCCGGGGTATGGACCCATGAAATTGTTCTGTGGGATGTTGGGAGGTTTTCCAGCGTTTATTCTTAATAACAGTAATATATTGTTTTCCATTAAAAAAAAGGAGGTTTGATAATGTATATGATATGAGGCCTTTTCTGGAAGAGGAGAGAGATTGAATAAAGGAGAGAAGGGAAAAAGGTATAGAATCTTAAGTGACCTCTGGGTTCATTGCAAAGATGGTAGTGGTGTGTGTGCTGTGTTGTGTTTGTTGTGTCGCCTGCTATTTTCTCTTTCTTGTGGTGGACAAGGGGACAGCAAAAGAATTCGTTATTTTTTTTCATTGCGTGGAATTTTGATTTTTTTTTTTTTTGTTGATATATGAGTTGTGATGTCGTCTGCTACTTTGCAGGGAGGTGCCGGTGGTGGCAGTCGGGATCGCGGTGGACGTTTCCTGGACGGCGCGCAGCAGGCCCAGGTCTGTCTGCCATCATTCATGCCGTTTTCTCCGCCCAGCAGACCGGCGAACCCTCTGATTCATGATGCGCGGTTTCTGCAGAGGGAGAAGGTGGATGACGATGAAGTCGGGATCGGGAGCCGACTGGATGACTTGTTGTTGGAAGGGGGAGGGGTGGGGCTGCGGTGCCTGCGGCCGCGGTCGTGTACCCCAGCGGTACGGGTCGAGGGGTTTGGAGAGGGGGGGGGAGGGGGAATGTTTTCCCAATCGAAGGGTAGTGGTGGTAGTAGTAGTAGTAATAGTAGTAGTGGCAAGTCGGTGGGGACCACAGAGTCTCATCGACCGCGGTCCTTGTTCCTTGGGGGTAGTGGTGGTAGTAGTAGTAGTGGCAAGTCGGTGGGGACCACAGAGTCTCATCGACCGCGGTCCTTGTTCCTTGGGGACCTTGTGCTTCGTCCCGCGATTCGAGTGGCGGGAGGATAATTACGGTACGTGGATATTTTTGGATATACTAAGGTGAATATCCGAACTATAAAATCTGTACCTGTCCGGCTAATTATGATTGATACATCGGGATGAGGTCGTCAGCACCTTCAATGACGATTCGTCGATTACATGAGTGCATCGGTTGTTGACGACGGCGAGAGAGAGAGAGAGAGAGAGAGCAGCGTCATCTGGTAAAGTGGAATAGACTGAATGTGCGCGGAAGCGGCGGAGGCGATGAAGAGAAGGGGCGGGGAGGGGCAGGAGAAGAGTCGGAGGAGGGTTCGGATAGTGACGTGTGATGCGCTGAGGAGCGGTTTTGTCTCTGAGAGAGAGAGAGAGAGAGAGCGCTAGGGGCAGGGATGGTGAGTTCCGTTAATGGAGTCTTGATCGAGTTGGTGTCTTCTGAGAACTCGAGGACGAGCAGAGGAAAGCGGGTGCTCTTGGCAATCATGGGCATACGCAGAGAGATAGAGATAGATAGATAGATAGATAGATAGAGAGAGAGAGAGAGAGAGAGAGAGAGAGAGAGAGAGAGAGAGAGAGAGAGAGAAACGAATGTGTCAGAGAAATGTATATACGGAAGATTTGTATGTTGTTTGAATCTGTCCGCTCGTATTGAGTGGTCGATTCTGTACTTGTAGAGAAGATGGCTTTGTTGCAAGGCTGTCCTTCGATTGTACAGAGATGTGTGAGTTGGGCATTTGACGAGAAAGGGAGTTCAAAATTCGAAGAGAGAGTGTGAGTTGGCAATTTGACGAGAGACGGAGAGGGGAGTTCACAATTCGAAAACACACACACACACACACACACACACACACACACACACACACACACAGACAGACAGAGAGAGAGAGAGAGAGAGAAGTGTGGAGAAGACGAAGATGTCCTGGTTATCGAAAGGAGCGACGTGTCGTATACAAAGAAGAAAGGTGGAGCGAGGGAGGGGAGGGAGGTGTTAGGAGGGGGAGGCGGTCGAGAAATGCAGCCTGGACGGTCACGCTGGCCGAAGGACGCGTTGCGCTTCAAGCTCGCAGGAAACGATTAACGTCACGGACAAGACACACACACACACACACACACACACACACAGAGAGAGAGAGAGAGAGAGAAGTTTAATAAGCAATTGTAGCGAAGAAGAACGGTGATAATTGGCACGTGGGCATTTGAAGCTTTGTTGTTTGATGTAGGTTGAAGCGTTCCACGCCCACGCGCGCTTGAAGGTGCGGTGTTTGTGACCACAAACAAGCACGAGTGCTAGCACTAGAAGAGAGTAGCGGAGTGCTAGCACTAGAAGAGTAGCGGGGATGGGAGATGGATCGTTTTGGAGTGTATCTGTGATGGAGTCTCTTCTCGATTTACAAGTGTATCTGTTGTGGAGAAGAAGATATTTATTCTCTGCTTGGATAAGAAGAAGAGGTGAATTTGCACGGTGCAATGATCAAAGAAAGCGCGGCGAAAGTAGGTCCAAAGGAAGGGGATGGTGATGGTGATTACAGAAGAGAGGGGGAAGGAGAGGAGCAGCAGCTTGTGCGAGGGGAGGTGGGAAGGTAGGTATGGTCGAGGGCGGAAGGAAAGGGGAGGGGAGGGGAGGGCGAGGAAGAAAGCGGTTGGGAGAGGCTAGCGTCTTTCACAACGAAGAGAGAGAGCGGCGAAATTTATCACTGGTCGTTATCGCTGTATCTAGACTGAATATTGAGCCGAATACCGCTATATTGACCGTTTTTTTATTTTGGGGAAAGACGGTACGGGGAGTGCTTGGCCGTCGGTGGAAGATAGACCGAGGAGTGGACGTCTTCTTGCCGAAGAGAGAAAGAAACTGTGTCCTTGAGCAGATGGAGAGAGAGAGAGAGAGAGAGAGAGAGAGAGAGAGGCTGAGGAGTGGACGTCTTCTTGCCGAAGAGAGAAAGAAACTGTGTCCTCGAACAGATGGAGAGAGAGAGAGAGAGAGAGAGAGAGAGAGAGAGAGAGAGAGAGAGACAGAGACTGAGGAGTGGACGTCTTTGCCGAAGAGAGAAAGAAACTGTGTCCTTGAGCAGATGGAGAGAGAGAGAGAGAGAGAGAGTTTAGAGACGGGGGGGGGGAGAGTTTGAAGGAACGTAAGTTTTCTCTGCTTGCGCGGGGGGGGGGGGGGGGAGGTGAAGGGGGGGGGGGGGGGGGTATAAGCTTTTGCACGCGCTCTTGCGTTATTTTTCCCCTTTGTAAAGATGTTCTGTTTTGTAACCATGGTGCGAGTTCAGTTTGACCCTTTTTTGTGGCCACACCTCATCCCTCTTTCGGTTTATTATTTCCGAGAGAGCGAGAGAGCGAGAGAGAGAGAGAGAGAGAGAGAGACGGGGAAAGAGTTTTTGACAGTTGAGAGTAGGAGATAACGAGAGGAAAAGGAGGCAGAGGAAGGTTTCGACGGTTTTGGTGAAGCGAAGAGGAGGTGACGTCACTGGTATTATGATGGGTTATTGTTTATCTACTGGAAGATAACAACGTATGTCGGGGTCTCGATGAAGCGGGTTCGTGCCTGTGCTTGGCACGGTTGCCTCCTCCACTGGAAGATGACGTATGTCGGGGTCTCGATTGTAAGCAATTAAGAAGGAATTAATAATGGCACATTGCTGTTGTTTTTCCTTTCAGCTTTTGATGTATTGTCTTCACGGTTTATGTATTTCTACAATTTTCTTGACCACCTTCATTCATTCGCTCAATGGCTCTGTGTGTGTGTGTGTGTGTGTGTAGTATAGTCCTTTGGGTGTTGTCTTTATTAATTTTTTTTATGTTTTATTTTTATTTTTTTGGTGTCGTCTTTATTACTTATTTTAGAATTGATGAGACGGGACAAAGAAACTATACATGATGATGGGCCTAAGGTCCACTGCACATCGCTCTATATGTTTCCGGACGGAATGTCGACCACATGCACCTGACTGATCCGACATATGGAAAGAATCGGGACCATTTTTAGCTCCAGATACATTATATGCTTGCGCAGTGGAGCAAGGTCCGGTGTTGCCTTATCTGTCATGGATTCTTCTGCTCATCTGTCGGGACCGTCTTGCGGGGGTAGCAGCAGCTCTTGTACGGAACGGGGACTTCTCTCTGGAGAAGATGCGTACGGACGGGGGTAATTCGGCAATTAGCTCTTGTACGGAACGGGGACTTCTCTNTCGGCAATTAGCTCGTGTACGGAACGGGGACTTCTCTCTGGAGAAGATGCGTACGGACGGGGGTAATTCGGCAATTAGCTCTTGTACGGAACGGGGTATTCAGCAAGTGCTACCCTTAGCGGCGATGTATTTCTTACCCTTGAGGGGGACGTGTTGGGAGAGTGAGGGAGGGGGGGGGAATCGAAGGGTGGCAAGAGCGCGGGAAACTATGTGGGGCAAGAGCGCGGGAAACTAGGGGGGACGAAGGGCGGGCAAGAGCGCGGGAAACTATTTGCGGCAAGAGCGCGGGAAACTATTTGGGGCAAGAGCGCGGGAAACTATGAGGGGCAAGAGCGCGGGAAACTATGTCTTTCTGCTTTTCGGAAGTAGTCTCCTCTTTCTGGTGTCAGAGAGAGAGAGGCTTCTTCGCCATGTATAGAACCGGGTTTTGCGGCCAGGTACTGAGCTGAAAGAAAATTTGTTTGGAAGAGTAGAAAGTGAAAATGACGATGATGAAATTGTTTACGGTTATAGTTTTTTTTTTTTTTTTTTTTTCCCCTCTCTGGGAAACAGGTTCACCCATCGGCGGGTGTCATTTGTCGTCCTCTTCCGTGTTCTCGAGTGGGATTTTTTGTTTCCCTTTTTGGGTAAGTGGGACATGTTGTGTTTTTCCTTTTTGTGTAAGTGGGAGATGTTTTTCCTTTTTGGGTAACTGGGACACTGGGTCAGTCAGAACTGCGGCGTATAGGCTTTTGAATCGCATAGATGATTATTCTATATGAATGTCTTTCTACGTCATATGTATATATATAACTAACAAGTAAACTCGTAACAACATAAATTATAAGCACTAACTATATGACCTGTGCTTGGATCGTGAGTGTTTTCGACTAACCACCAGTCAGAGAAGAGAGAGAGAGAGAGAGAGAGAGAGAGAGAGAGAGAGAGAGAGAGTTCCGCGTACAGAGCACCAAGTGAACAGTCCTTTCTGTTCACTTTGTGATTTGAGCGTATAGAATTGGAAAGGGTTGTTTTATCTGAGTTCGTTTTTTATCCGTTTGGTCCTTTTACGCTCGACGAAGCATTCCAGGAGAGCCCTAGTACGACAGCGAGAGAGGGGTCTGCGTACGGTGACCGTGCTCTCTCCACATGTCTCTGGACTGGTGTCTGCCGTTTTGAATCGGTTTGCATTAGCACAGGGAATACTGGCAAGGACCTTTTTTCAATGAGCTCTGGACGTAACTACGGTCAGATACATTTTGGTCCGGCTACAATTAGAGTGGGATACATCCAGGACAGCCCTTGTGTGAGTATGATGTCAGGCAGCTGCTGCAGTGTGTGATTGGGTTTCTCGTGATCTTTTGTTTTCGACTTTTCGTTGTCTTTTTGGTTTTCCCCTTTTTTATGGGTACATCCTGCACCTGCTGCTCTGTGTGTGTGTATGTGTGTGTGTGTGTGTGTGTGTGTGTGTGTGTGTGAGAGAGAGAGAGAGAGAGAGAGAGAGGGAGAGGGATCTTTTGTTTTTCCCCTTTTCTATGGGCGCATCTTGCACCTGCTGCTGTGTGTGTGTGTGTGTGTGGGGAGAGAGAGAGAGAGAGAGAGAGAGAGAGAGAGAGAATGCCGCTCTCCTGTCTGCCATCTTCGATCGTCTAAACTTACGTGACCGCAATTCCGTCCAGAAATAAGGGCCTCGCCACATCAATGTCGAAATGAAAAAAGCACTAGGTGTATCTTCCCCCAAAAGCGGTCAGATGCATCTTTTGCTATTCATAGGAACGGATGAATCTTGACACTTTCTGTTGGAACATGCATTTGAACGTTTTTCGCTTCGACAGTGGTGTGAGCTAAAGTAGAAAAAAGTGCTACTACCAAAGTGTTGACTATGGCCTCAGTCGTTTTCCCTTCCTCCCAGAAAGTTCGCACGGGCTCATTGGAATCGTAACTCTTGGTGGGTACTACAGCATCACCTTGTATGCATCTGGCCTCAATTCCGTCCAGAAACAAGTCAAAAAGTGCCACTAGTATGACTATGCCCTTAGTCATTTTCCCTTCCTCTTCGCGCGGGCTCCTTGGAGACAGAACTCTTGTAGTGGGTACTACGGCATGAGAGGGACACAGGGCATCGCCACCGCCGACTCTTGAACCCAGTGCTATCGACCTTGCTTAACTTCCAGCACCAGTCTAGCGTGTGTGACAGTATTCACAGATCCCATGGCCAGTACTTGGGAATTGGAGATAGTTTGACTGTTCTGTCTCAATCTCGGGGCCTGGTTCTATCTTCCATGATGCTTAACTTACAGTTGCTGTTCCAGTAGGCTAGCCTGCCTCACCATTCCCCCAACCCCAGCCTCACCGTTCCCCCAAATTCCCTCCCTTTATTTGTTAAATAAGTCATTCCCTCTCTGAATCAATAATGCTGTAGATCGGTAGCCTGAGCAGACTCGTTGAGCAGTGGAGGTGATACTGTGTACTGTTTGTCTGACTCTGTGGTCGTGTCTGTGTCCGGGACCGCACTAGCCCCTTTGTCTCCCTAACATCAGGAGTCGATGTTTGGTCTCATTTTGTCTCAATCTTGGCTGCGTTCTTCATGAGGATGGACCAGCTGGCACTTGGTGTGAACCCCCGTGTTCCTTGGCTCGGTCTCATTTTGTCTCAATCTTGGCTGCCGCCTTCATGAGGATGGACCAGCTGGCACTTGGTGTGAACCCCCGTGTTCCTTGGCTTTCGTTCTTTGCCGTTGGTACTCCTTTCCTAAATCTGCACCTGGTGCTATTCCACTGGTCTCCCTCCAGGATGAGTCTCCCTGGCCGACTGTGGGGGGAAAGGGGGGTTTGGGGAGGAGGAGG